TGACCCTTTTTCTTTGCCTCCTACCCTACAGTCACAGTTTGACCAGCCTCTATTTCCATGGGGAATCACCTTCATTCCTTACTAATTGTGATTAAGTTCAGAATGACCAATATTAGGTCAAAATTCACACAGAAAAAGTTTTGAGTAAGAGATTATCTTAAGTTTGAAATTCTGAGTAAGCAAAGGTACAGTTCAATCCCCATCAGAATTTACTGTATTATCATTGATTTCATAGACTTGAGACAAATATTAAGTGAGTTAGTAACCTAAGCAAATTTCCTAGCCCAATGCCTGCCTCATAGTAGCAGCCCTTCAGCAACTCTTACTTTTCTCCCCACGACCATGGTGTGGAAGAAAGAATGCCACACAGAGTAGTGAGACAGCAACCCTAGGTTCTAGGAGGAGCTACTCAATTAATTAATTGTGACACTGGGTAAGTCCCTTAGGCTCTGTAGTAATGATTTGAATTGTCTCCAAAGTTTCTCCTCACTTGATAGACTTAGGACTATTTGCACTTTTTTCCTGATTCAATTCTACTCTAAACTTAAATTTAGCATAACATTATATTTGTTACCCAAGGGGCACTGACGTTGCCTACAGTGTTGGCCATACTCCTGTGTAGAAAAGAGACCTAGTTCCCAGGAATCTCTCTGCTCTCTGTCCCTTGAGAGAACAAGAGGAGACACTGGAAGGCATTCTATTTCCTTGTGACAGGGACATGATTCTCTGTAACAGAGAGGTCAAATTTTATCTCCTTTAGCATGGGCTGTGCTTCACATTCCTGAGTTGCAGAATCAGCCCATAAGGATTCTACACTTGGCCCTTACACCCTCAGGGGGTCTTCGGTTTTTGAAGTGCCAACCTTTAGGTGCCTTACAATAGGTCACGGACATTGCAATCCCTGTCCTCGGATGTTTCCGGGCCTACAGGAGGGGCCACTGAATCCAAACGGATGTGTGTGGGGACACGAGTTTCTGGGAAAATAAATGGGCATTTGTGGCCTCTGAGGTCCATGCCCCCATGGGTGGAAATACTTATGTCTAAAATTCTGGAAATCGGTTGGTGCTGCACAGAAATGGGAAACAGAGAATGTCTGTCCTCACTTATGGTGTGTGTACAAATTCTGTCCGTGATGATCAAAACTCTCAGATTTAGAAGTCCCAAGTAATTGTGAAGATCTGTCTGAGGGAGAGTGTGACAAAATAAAGGTAATTTCTCTACAATTCAAAGACAGGATGGGGTGAATTCTGAAAAACACGGCGAGCCTGCGAAATTGGATGGGCTGCTGAATTGACTACCTAGCAAAAGGAAGCATGATCGCTAGCAACAAGTACAAATTCCCTAGAAATTAACTTTATTTTGATGGTTGACAGACTCTTATATTAAGGCCTGAGTACTGGATATACTGGATGGACTATTTCACACTACCCCTGTAAATGAGTTGAGCAAACAAGGATGAAGAGTGCAGTAGTCAAGAGAGTTTACATTGGCTGAACGATGACATCAAAGCGCATGCTCTTTCTCCGGGTTCTGGAGGACCTGGGGATACAACTCGAGGTCCTTCGCTTGAGAGGAGGTAGTGTTTCTGTTTTCCCCCCTTCTTGGGAGGGGTAGGCATAGTAGCCATTTTCAAATTTTTGACAGCTTTATCATCAAAGAGGAATTAGACTTTCCCATGTCTCAAATAGGAATATTTGAGATTGAGGAGACAAATTTTTCTTAATACAAGAGAAAAGGGTTTCTCTGTCAGTTAGCCTAATGGCACACGCTGTCTTTGGAGGTAGCAAATGTTACATCCTGATGAATTTAAGAAGATGCTGGTCATCTCTCAGACATTGTCTGGTGCCTGCTTCCACTAAAGGGAAGTTGGACAAAGTAACTTCTTCTGGTCCCCTCTAAACTTTTAGGTACCAAGATACTGTTGGAGAAGTTAGTGGTCAGATGCAAATAAACATCTTCCCCTGTGTCATCACAACTGGAGGAACAGAGTAGGTTTTGTCATACAGAAAAAGCTTGCATTTCTAAGTGTCCGATTGAGAGACAAACCAGGAATAAGTCTTCTAAAAACCATGAATAACAAGAGTTTCCTAAAAGCATTACCCTGTAAAATAAGCCATCAGAGAAGGAGAATATTTTATTTTTTAAAAAAGACAATCGTTATCCAATGCACCCAATTCAATCAGAATTGTGTCTGCCACATAACAACTTGAACTATGAATATCGAGTTTTCTCCCATTTTCTGGGTGCAGTCTGTCTGAAAGAGCCCTTTGCAGATAAAAGTCATTCTTTTCTCCTGTTCAAAGGCATCTATGAGCCTTCCTTTTTCTTTCTAGTCAGAGCAATGAAGGTTTTGATTCTCAGTTACGAATTTAGTAGACTTTGAGCTCTGTTAATGAGCTATAATAAAAAGTACAGTTTATATCGTGACCCAGGATCATTTATGCATTGTAAATGAAATCAACTATTTGAGAAGTAATACTTATCCTTACATAATAGTATAATACTCTGAAACTTTCACCTCAGTAATGAAATACTGTCTGTGCCCCACTAATTTCACGGGCTTTGCAGGGTGAAAAACACAGCCGTAGTCAATAGTTACAGTCACTGAAAACCTCAAATAACAGCGGAATTAATGAGAGAATGCAGGTCTTGTCACTTAGGCCATCTGACCAACTTGCTACCAAGGGGTAATGTTTGCACAATTGCATGAAAAGTCCCAGGGTTTGCCGTTCATTTCTGTATTACTCTTGGGTTCCTTTGTTCCTATCATTTTCACCGCTTCTCCCCCTCCTCCCAGAGAAAACTTGTATATCCTTTGAAGCAGCCACTTGAAACATTAAATGCTGTGAGAGATAAATAGATAGACCGCATTCCTTCTGTGAATCTTAAAGCTTTACATCGAGAGAAGCAAATTTTAGCCTAAAGCGTATCTGTTTATGAGCACATGCAGGTGACTGCTGATAATGGAATTGCTTATATATCCCTCAGAGGTGTTTGGGTAACCATTATTTTATTATCAGGCAGGCAAAAACAGTCTTGAACATCAAAGTGGACACCTCCTGGAAGCTACATTTATTATAAAAGGCTAAAGTGTCCACATTCATAGGAATCAAAGGGACTTAAAACAGAAAGGCAGTTGGATTCAAAGCCGAATGCAGTTCTGGAGAGGACAGCAACCACCTAAGTAGGTGGCAGGAACAAGAGGTAATTTAATTCTGAGAAGTACCGATTCTGCCAGCCTCTGCCGCAGCAAGGTGCCTGATGTTGTGATAGCCACAACCAGGGTCTGCCCGACAAACATTCCAACTGTCAGTGCAGGGACTGAGAATGCTTTTAAAATGTTCACCATTGGAAATCTCCTTGAGCATTCTCTGAACTCTTTTGCAGAAGGGAGGAGCTCCTCTTAGAAGGACATTGCAACTCAGTCCCGCTGCAGTATTTGAAAAGCCATCCTGGATGAATTTGAGCCCTTAACCCATAGCAACCTCAGAAAGTAACAACTAGACAGGCTATTCTGTCCACTGCCACCCAATTACTGTTCCGCTGTATTTAAGGACCTTTTGTATCTTCCCCCAGTTTGGCTCTAAATCCTCCCATCAGCCCCTTTCCCAGGAAGATAGCCTGAAGAGTATCTCTCTGCTGGGCTGGTTTTGAGTGTTTAATAGAAACTCCTCCACTTAGATCACTAAACTTTTATAATAGTTTCAAATATCCTTGAAGTCTTGGCCAGAGCATTTGGAAAAGTAACAAAGGGCCTTCCTATTTCTTCTCAAAAACTCTCCAGCAGTTTGAGAGTCTGAAGAGACCTAACCTCAGGCATTTTGCTTAAAGAGAATACTTCATATTATTTTTATAAAAGATGACTTCTATCCCTTTTTTTCAGGCTAACATCTTCTGAAATCCCCTTTGCTTTCCGAACAGTTTATCTTCTGAGAGACTAGAAAATATTTTCCTGGTGTTTGTCAAATGATAGTTGCAATTTAAAGTATTACTGTTGCAGAAGTGGTATCGTACCTGGGAGCATCTCTACTGAAAACCTTCATGGCCAATATTATTAATGAAAAGACACTACTGATTGTAATGCTATAAAACGGACTCTTAGAGAGTGTGCAAAGCCTTGGTCACATTTTTCCTGCACTGAGAATAATAGGTCAATAGTAGTAAAATTATAAATGTTTTAATGAGATCAAAAGGTGTAGTAATAAGGATGAAATAACAGTATGCCTTGGGCAATCTGCAGGCTAGCTTTTGGAAAAATGTATTATTTACCATTAATGGTTCTAATAGTTTATCAAAATAAGCTCTGTGTTGTGCTGTTCTCTTTTTCTTGATATGCATGAATTTTTTACTAAAAAAAGGAAGAATTCAGCTTTATAGAAATCAATAGATTATTGTAAATTCTTATCTATGTGAGACTTAAATCAGTGGCAGGGTTATCAAAGACTATTTACTCTGGATACATCAATTTGATTGATTTCCCCACAGTAAGTTAGGAGATCACCTATTCAGAAGCACTGCTTTTCTTATAAAAGAGCAATTCCCAACAGGGTGAGAACATAGGCTTAAATAGTATAAAATACTATTTTGTATTTTACATCATATCCCCCCCAAAGAAGAGTGAAGTAGTTAATTTAAACAATCCTCTAGGGAAAAATAAAAAGAATAGAGAGAACTGAACTTATGAAGAAAACTAAGAGCATATCAAAAGGAAACTATGCATTCCTTTGCCATGCATTTTCCGTTAACCCTACATTTCCCTGATATTCACATCTGCACACTCTCTCACGCTCAGCAAAGGTCGAGAAGAGTCACCCATGCACCTAGGACTGCCTGTAATTTTTCTATAGCGTGTAGGTCTGCCCGTTCTCCAAGGCTTTGCACTGGTTGCCACCTGTTTCATCCCATTTTATCAGAGATCATTTTTCTCATGGGTCCCATGAGTTCCCTGCCATGAGTTCCCTGCCCTCTCTCCCTGGGCCCCTCCCTCAGCTGCTACTCACTCAAAAGGGTCGCTGGGATCTGCCCTCTGGAGCTCTGGAGGGATGGGGATTCTTTTGTAGTACATTTCCCAGTCGAAGGCGCCTCGCATGGCGTCCCCAGCTTGCGCCTCATACCCAAAGTGATTGTGGTCAATGACATCGATCATGGGGCACACGATGGTTTTGTGGTTTAGTGCAATTTGGTCTGAAAAATGAAAGCACAAAATAGGAAATGACACACCTGCCTGGGTCATCTATCATTTTTTCAGCAAAGAGAAGCCTATGGATCCCTCCTGATGCTTCATGCTTGCAGCCGGGTTTGAACGCAGTCCATTTGAACCCTGGACTCCCTGTGATGGGACAGCGACTAGGCAATACTGGTGTGTCGTTTTTTTTTTTTTCTTTTTGAGGAAGCTGTGTCCCAGGGAGACTTGCAGAAAGTCCATTTAGCTTTACCTCTGTCACATTTCTGCTCTGACCTGTCCCCAATCTGTCATTCTATGGTGCATCCAGCGTGTGTGGGATAGAAACAGAAACTTGTGTTCTTCCAAGCATAAGGCTACAGCCTGCTGAGAAAATATTGGCCTGCTTTCTGGAGGTTCCAAAATGTAAATATTTAACTTGATGGCTTTTTCAGGATCTAATCTTACAGTGGCTATTGCCCCTAAAACGCTGACAGTTCACATACACAATTCTTTGCTCTCAGGCTTACAGAGATTTTGCCAAGCCCTATCTTGCAAGTGTTTTTCTTTTATTTTTTTCATATAGACTCTGTTTATCAAAGCTATACATTTTCATCTTCTCTCATCATATCCAAAAATATTTTAGATGGCCTGATACTACTGCTACTATTCCTGCTACTATGACATTCTTGAACATCTATTAAGGGATTTGTGCTTATGCTATTTCTAATCCTCCTTAGCAATGCTGTAAAGTGGCTATTACTATCATTTCCAATTTATGTATAGGAGGGAGCTGACCTCAGAGAAGTTAAATAACTTGTCAGAGGTCACTTATCGTTTGAGAGCAAGAACCACGCTGCAGCTGCAGCTTAGCCCTCCCACCCTGAACACCGGGGTCTTTCCTGTTTGCCCTCATGCTTCTCATGCAGCAGAAAGGTCACATCTTCCTGAGTTCCAGCTCCTTTCTTTTCCACGTAGATTTTAGTATCACGAGACATTAACAGCTGGTACAGGGAGCTGGTGTTCGCTTACTCTGCTCACCTAATACAGCTACATGTAAAGTATTTTCTTCCCAAGAATGTGATTTAATCAAGATTTATTATAACAAACTAATTCTATCTGACGGGCAGAACTTTTAAGTTTGACCATCTGCTCTGTGGTTATATGGAAGACCTGATGTGGCATGTGGAATAAAACACACTTAAATATCTTTTAAAAAACCATACTGTGTAGAATTAATGAGGGCTGGCTCTTTCAGGATCATTCTTTTGCTGGCACTGATAAGCCAGGGTGCAGAAACCACAGAATCCTTTGGAAGATCTCCCCTCCACATCTGTCTGACTTTTCACTTATTCATTTGTTCGTCTGTTCATTCATTCATTCCTTCAAACTTGACAACTATTTATTAAATAGAAATTATTTGTCTGTCACTTTTCTAGGTTTTGAGACTATTGCAGTCAATAACAACCACAAAAATCCATGTCTTCTGGAGTGGAACAAAGAAAACAATATACATAATAAATAACTAAGTTATATTGTGTTCTAGAAGGTGACAAATGTGATGGAAAGGAAATAACACAGGGTAAGGGGAATGTGGAATGCTGACATGAGGAAAGGGTCACAGTTTTAGATAGCATAGTCTCAGGGAGCCTGGGGGTCACCTTCATCTTATTTTAGCCAATTGGAAGACAGAGGGGACCCCCCAGCACTATAAGTTAATCTTCACCAAGGGCTCTGTAAGTACCCATTTGCACCTGAGGGAGTCTTATCATGAACTTGAATCTTTATCTGAATGGTGCCCCCCCCCCCATGTGGCTTTGACAGAGGAGACTATGACTTGTGTGTCCAAAATATTTCTTCTAACACTGCTGCAGGTGTGTTAGTATTAAGGTTTCAGTGACTTTCTTCAGTCAAATTCAGAATCAGGTTGATTTACAAGTTCCTTGACCAGCAAGGAGTCCCAAGGTGACCCAAAGAGAATGAGTCTGTTAAATTAACTGTCAACCTTCCCTTCAAATTTCCTTTCAGTCCTCATCCAGCTGCACTAGCTTAGAGTGAAAGCAGCATGACTAATTTTTCATCTAAGACTTATGCCTACATTTCAATTTCCAGGGATCAAACAAACGGACTCTTAATGGGAAATTGAAATTCAGGTATAATCCCAAGGTGAAAAATGAACCAAAGATCCGTGTGACTCCGCCTGGTTTTTCATTTTGGAGGATGTGTCAGGGCACTGATAAAGGAAAATAAAAAAAGATAGTGATCCTGAACTGGAATCATTTCTTATCCATCAGGCCTACAGGAAATGAAATGCTTTAATGAGAAAAAGTGGGGTTTTTTTTCCTTTTCCTTTTTTCCCTTCTTTTTTTTTCTTGTTAGATTCATACAAACAATGAGAAGCTTGGTAACCGACGTTTAGGGATTTCTCTGATTCATAAATAAGTTAGGTCCTTGGCTGACTGGAGTATTCAACACCATATGGATCAGATTCAGTTTGGGGCATCTCACTGTTGCTGATGAAACTCTAAATTGCTCTGTCCTCGGACAAGGCATTTTTAATGAAAAGCTCAGAGGAGCCTGTGGCTGCGGGTGTACAGAGACGTTCCCCGCAATTAGGATGGCTGGGCAGTCGGTCGTCAGTGTAGGAGTGTGTGGGTCGGGTGGGCGATGCGGTTGGGGCGGTAGCGGGTTGTTGCCTACTCTTGCTCCTGTATAGTTTCATTGGGTTTTTTCTCCTGCGTCTCTTACTAATGGCTCTTTGCTGGTTCTAGCTGAAATCCTGCCCAGTAGCCCACAGCAAATCATTGTTTCTGATTGTGAAGGCAGTTCTTACCGGTTTTACCTCCGAAGTCAGGGATATACTCACAATAAAAGTTGAATTAGTGAAATCTGGAAAAATAGGAAGGAGTACAATATGTGCCTGGTGGGAATTTTTAGAAACATATATTTTTTTTCAGGCTTACAATTTGTTTCCTATCTGCTACTGGATTTCATATCTGACTTCACTGTGAAATTTAAAAACACAGTCAAGCTCAAACTGAGCCACACATTTGTTTCCTACCTTGAAGGACTTCTAGTTTTTTTTCTCTCTCATTCGTAATGGTTCAAGTGCGATGTGACAGAGAGAGTCTCTTTTCCTCCTTGTGTCATTGGTGAGCAGTCAAGAGGTATCATCCGGATGGCAGCCCTGAGTGTCGGAGGGACTGCTCTGATACGGGGCATTATGTATGTAGGGACCCAGGCTGGTGCCAGGAGTGGGACGTGCTGGAGTCGTAAGTCCTAGAAAAATGTCACTTACAATCCGACCATGTTCTGGTGCTGAATATTTTTTTCCTCCTATAATCCTGTAATAAACGCTAAACTGTGTGTGGGTGAATTTTTTTCTCTGTGTGTGAATTTTAATCTTACTGTATTTTTTTTGAATACCTTTTCCTTTTAGCATTTACCCAGTGGATACAGCTGCAATCAAAGAGCACATCTAAGATAAATGAAACCTTTTCAGACCTTAGGATAGATCGCAGATGGTATTATCTACAAATGTCAACTTTAATGCAGTTTTCTAATTACCTATTTGTCCTCAGCAGGGGTTAAGGCAAAATTCAAGGTTCCCATAGTACAAATTGAAGTGGGGGCGGTGGTCTCTAGCCTGTGTTGGTTGCAAACTAAGTAGAAGCAAACCACAGAGTCCCTGGGAAAGAAGGCAAATCCCGCGCCCTGCCGATCCCAGGAGGCTGCTGCGGAGTCTGTACTCACTGAGGAGCGGGGGCAGCCAGTTCACGTTGACCTCGCAGTGGGAGTCCAGGAACGTCAGGACTTCTCCCCTCGCCATCGAAGCCCCCAAGAGTCGGGTCCGGATGAGCCCTTCCCTTTTCTTGGTGCGAACAATCCTTACTTTGGAAAAGCGGGCCATGTATTCCTCTAACTTATCCTTCAAGTGTTCTAGGAAGGAAGTGGAGAATACACAGAGAGAACACGAAACGTTACTTGTAGCAGAATCACTCACAGGGGGTGTTATTATGCACGGAGGGTGTGTGAACAGTGAGTCGGAGCTTGTGTCCATTTTTTTTCCTCTTCATTTTGAAAGGAGATGCTAAGATTTTATGCTGAGAGGGTTTTGTATTTTAGTTGCCAAAATGCTCCACAAACCACACACACTGCCTGTTGAACACTGTGGTGGACGCTGACACACTGGCCAGCGGCCACTGTGCTGGACCCTGGCCAGCACTGGCAAAAAGGACACCATGACATCGCAACCCCCCACCCCCAGCCCCTGCAGATTCCAGTGAGATGAACATTACAGCTTATGGGCTCCTTTCAACAGAGGGCTCTTTCCAGCAAAGCCTTTGCCTAGTCATTTGTACTTTTGAAGAGAAATTGCATTTCCAGAATGAGGAATGCCTTTGAATGCTCAGCCTGAAAAATAATAAATTTTCCATTTTTTGGGTGAGATTTTGATAATCATCATCTTGTATTTATTGCAGATTTAAAGAAAAAAGGTTTTGACCAACAATAAACAAACACATATGGCTCTATAGTAGTATTCCTCTAGCTTATCCTTCCTTGCCTCTCTCGGCTTTGAGACGGGCAGCTGTGTACCTGTCTCAAATAGGTAACTAGAAGGCCCACCTCTGGCGCTCTCCCTTTGGCTTGCTTCTCCCCTATTATGCCCCTGCGTAAGCTACAAAGAAAGATTCCAGAGGGCTACACAACACAGCACCACCCGTGAAGATGCCTGCAGCTCTACTATCTCATAAGGAAAACAAAGCCGAGACCTGCCATCCAGTTGCTCAAAGTCAGTGACAGGGATGAGTGATGAAGAGCTCTGTGCGTGCCTGCCTTGGACGGCCTGCATTCCGTCAGGACCACCCACAGTAATAAATGTCTAAGAAACCTTCATCATCTCATCACTGTCATTTATTCAGGCACTGGAATCCTCTGTATCACCAATGAACAAACCAGTGTCATTTTATAAGTTTGTAAGATCAGTTGTTGGGACTGCAGAACGCATTGTATCATGAAAACAGTGTCTTGACAGTCATTGGGGACTGAAAATAGATCACAAACATTTGTTGAACCCATTAAGAGTTCTTTAAATCCTCATTGTTCCTTTTTCAAAGGTACTACTACGTACTCCTTTGACGGTCTGGGCACATTGCTTCTTCCTTCCTGAACCCTAAGGATGGATGGGGCCTTTCTTGGGGGAATAGGAGGAGGAAGGGGAGAGGAGGAGAAATTCCCTGGAGCTGCCTAAGAGGAAGCGGCCCCAGGTGACAGTCCCTTCCCAGGTGTTCTAAGTTGAGCATCGAGGGGCTCAGTCACCTGGGAGAGGTCATTCCAACTTTGGATTAGACTTCCACATGTTTTAGTTTTTAGGTAAGTCTCTGGCATTCCGTGGGGTCTATGTCCACCTTCCTTTCCCTCTATGCACATTTTCTGATTGTGCATATTTTTATTTTATCAAAGAGCATATGCACAAGGGGACTGACTCCAAACAGAGCCCGTGGAATGTTCAGATCAATTCCTCTAGTTTGAACTTCATGGTAACAATAATTGGGTTGCTTTGCTTCAGAATAATGACCTAGCTGACTGCCCTTTTGAGGGGTCCCCTTTCTCCTAGTAGTTCAGTTGTAACATCTAATTACCCATAACTCCCAGTGAAGACAGGGGTCATCAGTCTAATTACCAAATTAGATGCTCACACAAGGGAGCTGCTGGGCATGGTGGAGATGGTGTTCATCAAAAACACCGTGCGTTTCTTTTCTGTGAACAAGTTTTAGATTCATTTCTAAGATATATAACATTTTTCCAAGCATTTTATGATTTTTAAGTCATCATGAGAAGGCATCTGTGAATAAATGAAAATAACCTGAATATAATTTATAGTTTGCAATTATTCTGTTTATAGAATGGAGGGGGGGAATAGAACAAATGTAATGGCATAATCAATAAAATAAAAAAATAAAAATAAAGAAAATGTTTAAAAAAACTCAAAAAAAAGAAAACTATAGAATGAGAACTTAATATTTTCTAAGTAGAATCATACCTTACTTGTCTTTTTGTGATTGGCTTATAACATGGTGTCATGTGCATCAGAATTTCCTTGCTTTTTAAGGCTTAACGATATATTCCACTGTATGTATAGACCACATTTTGATGATCCATTCATCGTTAGTGGGCATTCAGGATGTTGCTACCTTTTGGCCGTTGTGAATCATGCTGTGAGGAACATTCATACACAAATATCCCTCCGAGACTCCACCTTCAATTCTCTTGCATATATTCTTTAGCTATATGTGCCCAGCAGTGGAATTGCGAGATCATATGGTAATTGTATTTTTATTTTTTTTAGGAACCCTGGTACTGTTTTCCACATTAGCTGTACCATTTACATTCCTACAGTGGTGTCATCAGTTCTGAAGTTCCTGTGAACCCTCTGTAAAATGTGCATTTTGGTTGAATGTGGAAAAAAAAAACAACTCTAGTAAGTGCCTTGAGAACTACAAAAAAAAATTTCCCAAAGTCACTCTTTCTAATTCACTAAACACCAGATTTTGTATAGAGAAAGGAAAGTCTGAGTACTGGCAATGACAAATAGTTTTAATATAGAAGAGCAGCTTTCAAAGCGGGAAAATAGCACAAATACCAAAGTTTCAGCACTAACACTGCATAGGAAAAGCCCCTCCAGAACTTGTTTCTTTTTGCCTCACTGCAAAGCAGAGGAATCGAGAACACCGTACTTTCCAGTCCGAATGGGCCCCGCGATGACAAGCAGAGTGGGTAACATCTGGTTTGCGCATGTCCGCGCCAACTCCGCTCTGCAAGCCTCGCCTCCTGTAACCTCAGGGGTGTGGCCTGCGGTCTGCACCCGGTGACCAGCCGTCTGGCCTCTGTCCACACTTAGCCTTCCTTCTTCATCATAAATTATATCAGGGAACCAAATGGCACTTTGTAATTAATTACCTTAATGAATTAATTATTCCCTCCACATTTACCAATATATTTTTAATTATCTTCTTTCACTCTTCCAAGAAAACTCAGTCCTTAACTTCTATAGTTCCCTTCATTTCTAAGTGTGTAAAAAATGTACATTGCATAAGATACTCTATCTTGAGATATGGGGTACATAAAATATAAATTATCTTCTGGAGGGTGGGCCCCTTGTAGGACAGGCTTCTCTGACTAGGTGAGTGTTCTAGGAACCCATCTGTATCAGTGTACCAGCTGGCAGTGTTGTGAGAGGCTGCATTTGGCCTCAGTGAATTTTTTTTTGAAGACTTTCAAAGCGTTTGCTCATTTCATGATGGGTGATTTCCAAACACACCTGTCCACAGTGCACTGAGTGTTCAGCAGTTTTCGACCAAAAAAAGAGCAGGACCCTCATGCCCAACCCTCCCTATTCACTCGATCTCGCACCAAGCAACTTGTTTTTTCTTTTGCTAGAGGAAAAAAGTCTCAAAGGGAAAAGTTTTGCTAATGTGAAAGAGGTGAAACAAAAAATGGCAGAAGCACTAAAAAGCATCAGAATCAATCAGTTTAAAAACAGTTTCGAGCAGTAGAAAAAATGTCTCAATAGGTGTATGGCATCAGATGGAGAGTACTTTGAAGTGACTGAAGCTTAAACATGTAAGAATAAAGATACATTTTTTATAAATAAAAAAGGTCGAAAGAACTAACATATTTATACTTTTACCCTCTGAAGTTTTAATGGTAAAAGTCCCATGTATAAATTTCATGATTCTATGAGTAATTCAATAGCTTCCTAGAGTATTTTGCTGAACACCCTGTTATGTGATTTTTACACTGATTCATATTCTGTCCTTAATACTACCATTAATTATTGAGTTTACTGTACATGCTCACACATTTATACTTGGATAAGTAGCATTTGATGAGCAAGTTTGACTCTTAATGACCGTCTCTAGAAATTAGAATTGAGTGAGTTTTCCCTATAAAAATAATAAATTTTCTGTAACTTGTTTTCTTAAGAAAAAAATCAGGATAAATGAAAACTCTGGGCAAAATAATTGCAGAGTAATTGCGAGCCACACTTGTGGGGCTGTTAATGAGGTGAAATCACAGCCTCCCAGTGAAACCAAATGCTGAATGGGACAAACTGGAAGATACAGGAAATCTACCTCTGAAATTAAGGGATTCATAAGTACATTGAACCATTTTTTAAAACTCAAAGTGAAGGGGAAAAAAGCCGGAATGCTTGAGAAAGGGATAAATTGATCTTTAGCATTAAAAAGAAAAGCACAAAATTTAGGCAGAGCAAAAACCAAAAACAAATACAAATGAGCTCTAAAATGCCATAGAACAGCACAGATATCAAATGAAGGCAATAAAATCTATGGCCTTTTGAAAGTACTTTCAATTCTGTGGGGTTTTTTTTTTTTCATTTTGGAAAGATGTTAGTGTAATTCACATTTACATGCTAAGGTCATTTGGTTCAGCTTCCTCCAAAGCATCCACGGGACTACAGGGTGGGAATGGTACATGGGTAGAGTAATAGGAACCTTCGTCTCAAATTAGCATGGATGTGAGTGACTGAATTATGTCCCTAGTGAGCATTGAAACAGCCATAAAGACTTTGGGGGTTTGACTTGGCTTCACAATAAATAAAGATAAATTGGTAAGAATTCTTCTAAACAGTTACTGTGAGAAAAATGCTGTGTCAAAATTCCAATTTAGATGAGATCAGAACTAAATTAAATATCTGGGAATTGGTCCTGTCCCCAAGGCTACCCAAAACTCTGAGTTTCTAATGATATTCTTGTACCGTGATATTGGAGGAGGCAGGTAGGAAATGGGCTGTCTGCCTTCGTTGAGGATAATGGACCTGCTAAAGGTCGGTTCTCTCAAGGCATTGCTCCATGTCTTGATAATGCTATTAAAGAATAAGAAGGAAGGGACCCTATAAAATCATTGTTTCAGTTTAA